GTCAACAATAACAATGTTCTCTGATCTTTTTCTCCAGATTCCCTTGGTGGCAATGCTAGAACTGTCATGGTCGCAAATATTGTAAGTTAATTGTGATCATTTTTTGTTCATCTGATTTATATCGTATAAAACCAATTTTTTTTATGTCCGAAATGACTGCAGCTGTACCATTGAAAGATGTCAAACATAATGAAACTTAGAAAGGGTCTATTGTTTAAGAATAATTTACACCGTCACGGCCAATCCTCATTCTTTATGTCTATTGTCTTGTATCTAGGGCCCTGCAAGCTATAACTACGAGGAGTCTATCACAACATTAAGGTACATGTACAGTAATACAGTCTGTGCTCTCTCTCTCTATAAAAAGTGCCACCCTTTATTTTACAAATGATCTGATGAGATTTGCTTTCTTATTGGATCAAAATCAAAGATAACAATTATATAGTAAATTGGTGTGAAAATTGTTGGAGGGTGACTCAAATGCCTGTGGGTCTTTAACCATTTTATGCAATGCATGCAGGTATGCTAACCGTGCGAAGAATATCAAGAACAAGCCACACATCAATGAAGATCCYAAGGATGCACTACTTAGAGAATTCCAGGAAGAGATTGCCAGGTATTGTTTACATGATGGTACTCCTTTCTAGTTCTCTCTTGAAAAGTAAAATATAAGCGTTTGAATCGATCATGGTGGTTGAACAAAATATTCAATGCATGTATCTGTGTATATATTAAATATACCATCATGTGTACACCATTCTTTGTCAGTAATACTTTATACAAGAAGGGCAAGAGATGTAAGTTTAATATTTAATTTTGTGAATTGTAACAGATTAAAAGGTGAACTTGATAGAAGAGGTGGCAAGAAGAAGAAGAGGAGAAGAAAAGGGCCAGATGGTAAAAGGAAACTTTCCTATTTTAGTGCAGAAGTTGTCAGAGTGGAGATTTTTAGTCGTGAAACACTTTAGGATATGATGCAGGACATTTAAGAAAAGCAAGAGAGCTCCTCAACTTTATTTCATGTTGCTACAACTCATMTTATGTTGTGTTTGTTTCTTATCCTTGCATTATGGAAGAATAAGGTTGCACACATGTTTGTGCACCTTTATTTGAGCTCAATTGATTATCTTTTTGTATGGACTTGAAGGTGTTGAGATAGAAGAAGATGATGACGACGATGACACCCCAGATCAAGGACAAGTTGAAGACTATATGAAGGCAGAGCAAGCTAAACTAGACCAAGAAAAGAAAGCTCTTTTAGAAAACCACAGCATGGTTGCAGAGGTTAGAACATTAGAAATGTAATTTGTCAAATTGATTCTTGCCCTACCAATCCCCTCACCTTACCTTTCCTGCCTGCAATTACCCCTGGAAGAAAAGCAACATGCAAATGGAATTAAATCAACTTTTTTTGCACAGTTATTGTCTAAAGGAAATTAAATGAACTAGAAATTATTTCATTTACTTGCTAGGAAAAGCAGCGTCTTATGGCTATCGTTCAACAGAAGGAAAAAGAAATGAAAAAACAAAGAGAAGCTCAGGCYTCACTCACAGCTAAAATCAAGGTCAGATTCCCATTAAGTGCTTTTCAATATTTGCTACTAGTAAGAATGGATTTGTTGATGGGTAAACATTGTCAACTTTTTCATTATTATTCCTTGTGTAATCTTTATTATGCAATCTCTTGTTGTGTTTTGTAATAAAATGTCTCTATCTGTAGATGATGGAAAGCAAGCTTCTTATTGGTGGTAAAAGTATTATCGATAAGACTAGTGAACAAGAAAGAGCCTTGGAACAAAGACGTCAAGAAATAGCAGAACAAAAGGTATAATTATTGGCATAAAAACAAAGTCAGGATTAGCTTATGATATCAAATCTTAAAATATGAACTAAATGCTAATTCTAACACATTTGTGGAGGATTTGAAATCCTGGAGTGGAAAGGACAAACAACTGCCAAATATGGAACAAGSCTTTGATAACAGTGTGGATCTGTTCCTGCTCTAGCTAGTTACATTTTAATCTTTGTTTTTTAGCGCCGAGAAAGAGAAATGCAGCAAAAGTTGGAGTCAAAAGACGAGGAYACTATAGAAGTGAAAGAAACCTACTCTTCTCTTCATCAAGAAGTTGAAATGAAAACCAAAAAACTCAAAAAGCTTTTTATGAAATTACAAGCAATTAAATCCGAAATTTTAGACCAACAAGAGGTTCACATCAGTGAAAGACAGGAACTAGAGCAGGCACAAGAAGAATTAACTAGAGAACTTAAACTAAAGTAAGTCTTGTGTGCCTTTTCGGTTTCAATAGTCTCCTACATGCACGATTCCCTGCCCTATATAATCTTGAAACAAGGCAACTGTGTCTTTGCATCGAAGTGAGAAGACCGTGCAATGATGGATACCTTCTTTCATACATAGAGACAATAGTTACATGTCAGGTACCTATCTGCACACTATTGCACACTATAAACAGTCATCTTGCTTGCAATGCAATTAAGACTTGGTGGCTACCTTTCAAGGTAACCATGAAGGAGACTTTGTCCAATCTCGTTCCCAGAGCCGGAGACCAAAAGTAACACGGCCTCGGGGTGCRAGATTGATTATTGTCGATATTATATGTTAGTGATGTAATGTTGTAAACATCACTGTAATAACAGATGAGACAGTAGATGTAATTTGCCCAAAGAAGCTAGCCCAAGTTTAACTGATCAAAACATACATCCCACTAACGACAAAAATGTTCATGTAAAGATTTGAGAAGCCAATTCAAACTGAAACCATGAATAGACATTGGCTTTTGGCTGGCTCTTCTTTTTAAGCCAGCATTTTGTAACCTATAAAATTGTTATTGTTCAGGGCGGCGATTGTGGAAAGCTTTATCCCACCTGAAGAAAAAACAAAATTGATGAACAGAGCTTATTATGATGAAGAAAATGAAGTCTGGAAGCTCAAACCTGTAACTGAAAATAACAAGTACGCCATAATATAATTTTTTGGGGGAGGGGAGGGTCTATACACCTGTTACACCTCAGTCAATACATAATATAGACTAAGTTGACTCGGATCAGTCACTTCTGAATTCAAATCAGGTGAAGGCTGTACATGCCTATCTAATAAAAAGAAAATAATGCTAAACAATGTAATAGTCAATATGTTACATGATTATTATTAATTATTAGTAAACAAGCAATGGCAAAAAGACCTGTCTCAGCCAGCGGCAGCAAAAGACCAATCACAGAGTATGCAAAGATGGCAGCCGCAATGGGTGGCCATCCAAGATATAAGGTAATACACAGAATCGTAATATTTCTGTTAGTTCTTGTAGTTCAGGGCAAGAAAAATTTTTTGTTCAGACAGTTTCTCATGCTTTTAAATTGTGTTTAGTAATGTTTTTGTGCAAGAGAATCTGTTGTCAAATAAAGCTAGCATTATGGAAAACACGGCACCAACCAGCAAAATAGACGTAAAAATAAAACATTTTTAGTCAAAATAGCTTATTCTCACTTCAATAATGCTGAGAGATTGAAACTAAGAACTTCAAAAAGTAATAAGTTAATAATAAATTTAGCATTTATAGTATTTTAAATATTCTGTAATATTTCATAACTCATAACATTCGGTAACAAAGTATGCATTTTTTGTTAGG